AAAGTTGATTTTGGACCTCATTTGTCACACCCAGGTATCCCACCTTTTGGCAAATGCTCGAGTAGCAATGGTATTACTCATTACTCATTGCGATTACATCATAAATAAGATAGATCTCTAATTGGCCTAAAGCGTCGCCTTAGTTAATTAGAAGTGGCTATCCTCACCGTCACCAGGGGTGAGAACTGCTTTGTTTCGCTATTCTCACCCCCCCCCCCCCCCCCCCACAGCCCAACAGGTGTGCTATGTAGGCCTATGTAGATCTACACAGTAGGCCTATAGTATAGTTAAAGCCTATATATAGTACAGAGACACACAGAACAGCACAGTACAGAGAATAGTGTGCAGGCCTAGATCTAGATCTACATACGTTAAGTTTCAGGTTAAGTTTATTTATGGTCACCTCTATTCTCACCCGGGGTGAGAATAGTGCAGGCGAGTCTTTTGGCTATTCTCACCCGGTGCGCGTTCACCGTTATAGCCTAGATCTAGGCCAACAAATTTTGCGTTCACCCTAAACCACAGAATTCTACACTGTGATAACAGAAAAATTGTAGAATTCTGTGCCGTGAACAAACGTTCCATTACAACTGTAGCCTACTAAAAGCGTACAATTTTGTCTGTGGGCAGTGGAGAGAGAGAGAGAGAGGAGTAGCGCGAGAACTTCCGGTCAAAACAAAATGGCGACCCGCGTAGTTCGGCTCGATTCGAAAAGTTAAATAGCCGTAGCATCTTTGTAGACAACCAAATTAATTTACTTTTGTGTTTTAACATCATTTTTTAACTTTGTTTTGGTCAATTTGATTGTCCACACTGATAGACAGTATTCAGAAAGAGACAGAGAGAGAGGGGAGGAGTAGATCTTGCGAGAACTTCCGGGCAAAACAAAATGGCGACCCGCGTAGTTCGGCTCGATTCGAACAGTGAAATAGCCATAGCATCTCTTTGAAGACGATAAAATTAGCTTACTTTTGTGCTATAACGTAATTTTTTCTTGGCTTTTATCAATTTGATCATCCACGTCGATAGAAAGTATTCCGAAATTAGGAAAAACAGGTCTTGTTTTAAACCGGGTGAGAATAGCCTACGGTGGCAAGTCTCACCCGAGGTGAGAGGTCGATCGTATTTCTATTCTCACCCTGGATGAGAATAGCCACTTCCTAAGTTTATTTTTTTAAAGTCCGCGGCTATTCGGACTCGTGTCTGAATACGAGTCCGAATAGCCTTCCGTGGCTATTCGGACTCACACTCCAATGCGCGTGCTCAATCACTAGGTGTACCGGATGTGAAGCAGACAAGCAATTTGACCTTGGTCTTCCTCGGTTTCTATGATGGCGGGCCTGGGGAAGTAAGATGGAGAGAGAAAAAGGTTAGAGAAAGAGAGGGGAGGAGGCTGTCTTATAAGGACTGATTATGAATTTTATGTTTTGATCCCTTTGTAGTCATGAAACGCAGTGTAATAGCCTACCAGTAGTTTAAAGTCCGAATAGCAACGGGAGACTATTCGGACTCGAGTATAGACCTCGCGTACGGTAACAACCGGTGATTGCGCACGCCCACTGGAATTTTAGTCATATAGCCTCCAGCGGCTGTTCAGACTCGTCCGAATAGCCCCTTCGATTTTTAAAATAGGCCATTTCACACCATGAACAGCAAACAACAGTGAATAAAAAAACAAAAACGAGTAACTCTATCTAGATCTAGATTCAAGATCTAGATCTAGATCTAGATTTTTCTAGATATCTATGGTTATAATGCAAGAATGAAATGTCAAGAGCAGAGCGTTGGTTTTTTTTCCTGATACATATCGGTACTCATAATATAATTGCCTAATTTTAAGAAGGCTATTTTTTATTTAAAAAAAATTAAATTAAGGCTATGGCTGTTAGTAATCAAAGTGGCTAGCCATACTTAGGTTTAGGCCCTATTGACCGAAACCTGTTGAGTACACAGGTCTCATTAGATCTTGTGGTTATTCAAGTTTAAAATACATGTGTATGTCAGTAAGGCACCTTTTGGCTTTGTCTGAAATACAAATACAGTCGAACCTGCCTTAACAGGAACCTGTATAAAAGGGAAACCTGTCTTAACGGAATCTCCCCGCTTCCCCCTGGATATATTCCTCTTTAATTACCTGTATAAAATGGAAACCTGTCCAACGCGAAAACGGAAAGAAAAATCCGCTCCGTTCTGAGGGTTTCACCTGTCTAAGACAGAAATTGCTTTGCCAGCTCAGCCCTGATTTGAAACCAAACTTGCAAGTTTGGTTCCGCCGGCTCTTAACTTAACACCATGGCCATGCTGCTAGGCAAAGATGGGGAGTAGGGGTGCAATTTTGGGGTAGATGTTACCCCATCATGTAAGCCCTGAGGGATGCAGATGGTCAGGGTAGTGTGGGTGTAAAATCTCACGACTGCCTGTGAGAGTGCTTGAGTAGCGAGCCACTACGGAAACTTTCCTGCGTAGCCAGAAGCCTGAGGTGTGAAATAAGTTTGACCGATGCCTGCTTCCCTGATCATACGCGAGCCGTGAAAATAATTTCTCGAATCTTTGTTACATGATGGCAGTGAGGGATGGCATTGGTTGACTGTGCTTGTTACACCGATGGGTGGGGCTAAGGGTGGAAGCAAAGGACTTTTTCAAACATTTCTGTTTTTAATAGGTCAAACAGTGGTCCTTTGAAAGGCAAGTATTAGTGGTAATTGGATAAGTGACTCATGGAGTGACGCGTGTCATTATCAGACAGGATAGCAGTTGAGAAGTGTGAAGTTTTGACCACTGCTTGCCGATCGGACAAGCGATCCTTGATCCCACCGGCTGGGCCTTTGAGACCCCCCCTTTCCATCTCCCCCTTAATTCCCCTGTCTAAGACGGAATTTTTTTATGACTCCCTTGCGATTCCGTCTTACACAGGTTCGACTGTACTTTAGGTACAGTGGAACTCCGATTTAACGAGCTTAGATTCAACGAGAACTAGGATTCAACTAAATGAGATAGATTCCCTGTTTTTTTCTTCTTTAAAATCAATAAAAATAACCCAGATTCAACGAGCACTGAAATCAGCAAGCTCGGATTCAACGAGATCGCTTCCAGGGTGAACAGCCCCCGCAGACGTGGCTTCGCTCATTTTTCTTTCACAACGAACTCTATTCTCGGAAACCATCCATTGCACCTGCATCGTGAACCATTATTCACTTAGCCGATTGCATGCGACCAATCAGCTGCGTTTTTTTCATACCAACACATGCATTGTTGGCACGTGCACGTGTCTACTCTGACATGTGTCAGGGTCGGATGGGCGGCCTGCTCACGTGTGGCTGTGTGTGCGTGTCGGGGAGGGTGGAGGCACGAGCGGTTTGGTCGTTGAACATCGCAGATACAAACGCGTCACAGTCTTTTTTTCACCTCGACAACTGATCATTATTGCAATGGTAAGCTAGTGTTGACATAGTTCTACGTAATGAATTGTGCGCTGGTCTATGGAATCCCAAGTTGCCGTATGCTAGGCTCAACACAGCAACACAACTTTTTGTACAAACGAAATGACACAGGCGTGTGCATTTGAACGAATTGGTCTTTTTTTTTTACACAGCTCATAATATACAGGCATTTCAGGCACTACTTGTGACTTCTCTTTATACATTACTTGCTCAGTGCCTGTAATGAATGATCTACACAAAACCTCGTGTTTGCTATAAATGAACACTCGGATTCAACGAGATTTTATGTCAGGCCCGGCGACCTCGTTTAATCTGAGTTCCACTGTAAAATTAAAAACTAAGATTTTATTTACAATTCAGCCATCATTGTAAAGTACAGCTAGTCTGTCAGTCTAGCCATCCTTAAATACGGCTAGCTAGCCTGCCAGTCTAACCCGTAATTAGGTTAGGCCCTTTATTTACACAGGTTTCATTAGTAATTATTCAGGTTTAAAATACATGCTGTGTCAGTAAGGCACCTTTTGGTTTCTTCTCAAATACAAAATACTTAGGTAATGCAAACTAAAAATTTATTTACAATTCATTAGGCCTATTCTTTGCTGTATATGTCAGTCTAGCCATCATTTAAGTACGGCTAGCCCAGCCGTCTAGTCGTCATTAAGTACAGCTAGCCTGCAAGTCTAGCCGTACTTAAGTGCACACGTAGCCACTGTTACTGTTGCAAATTAATTATATTCAAGAAAAGTTCAAACCTAAATGAAAAACATCAAACTATGTGGGTAAAACAGAGGGGGGGGGGCATGTTGTAACCCCCCCCCCCCCCCCCCAGTTTTTTTTACTTCAGGGGGGCAAAGTGCGGAAATTACTACGCAGTTAGACTCAGTGTGAACTAGTTCGAATAAAACCAAAAATTTTTTTTTTAAACTATTAAAGTCTGTCTGAATAACAGTTAAAGATAACAAGAATAGTGCTTTACAATACCTGGGCATGAGACAGTAATGAAAGTAAAATAATGCCCAACTTTCTAAGCGACCACTCTCAATACCTGTCATATTATATTGCAACTCTGGAAATGCTTGGATGACATCAGACATTCTCTTTCTCTCTTGTAATTTGTTGAACAAGTACATGATAAGTTTTCTGAGTGCTGCTTATCACTTGACTAAATCATTTAAAATCCCAGGTACATCTAGTGTTCTACAGCACTGCTGCATTTTTCACACCGCAGGCTTAAACATTACTGTCTGTAATTCATTGGAGATCTTCCCACATTTTTTGTGACCAATCAAATGACATAGTTTCAGTCGCCCAAACATATAGCTCACCCAGTCTTATATGTGTCCATGGATAGTGGGGTGCGAAAACACTGTCCATCACTTGTTATCTTCGCGAAGATCACTTTCACCACATATTTGGTAATATTGGGGGGGGGTAGTGAATTGTTCATCGCCTGTCTTGACCTAAGGTTATAAAAGAGGGAGTTGAGCTTGTTCCATGATACTTTATCTGTATTCTGTTGAGATTGTTTCATTTGAATTAACACATTTTTTTGTGTTCCAGATTTTTCCAGCAAAATGTTTGCCAGCAGGTTTGCGGCATCATGTGGTCGCATTCCGATCACAGCATTTGTGACAGGTCTAAGCCGCCCCACTCTCTCGCGACCTGTTAATCCAAATGGCTTGTACAGCAGAGTGCAAATGTATGCCTCCGAAACCAGAAGTGGAATTGGTCGTCATTCTAAAAGGAAATCCATGAAGGAGACACTTATGGCCCCAGCTGGAGATACAGGTAAATATCATCCCCAATAATTGCCAAACTGTTATAAATTTCATTATTGAGGTCTACAGGTGTTGTCATTGTCTCAGATCCTTTTTGTTTCCCACTTTTACATGTGACCATGAACACATGGCTTCAAAAATGTTTTCACCATGAGTTTTATCAAGTGTTTTATTTCTTAATCCCTAATTTATCTTTCTTTTTTTCATGTGGCTTTGTAATGCCCTTTGCATTTTCTCTTTTCTTTCTCTCTGTATGTTGTTCCCTCTGAGTTTTACTTTACTGTGTTGGTGTTAAATGTTAAACGCAGTGGAATCCAGCACTCGTCAATTTTCATGTATGTGGCGTTACTGTATCATAAAGTTTGTTCTTTTGTCTTGCTTTGGATTAAAATAGAGTACCCATCGATCTTGAATAGATGTCGAGATAATGGCCTTTGAATGAGGCGGGGGGTCACCTGGTTTCAGAAGTAAAATTAACGTCTGCCATAGCTTGAGAGTCCTTGGAAAGTTAAAATTTACATTTCTTTGTGCCTTTAATCAACAGTTTTCAGTAAAATCTTATTGAAAATTGTTTTGTTTTTTGTAGACATTAAAGGCGTTGAGCCAAAGGAAAAAAAATCTGTAAAAATTGCCAAACTAGTGGGAAAACGTCGTTTTTTTTCGATTTCATTATTTTGCTGAGTGCCTGATTTCACCACAATGCCTCTCAAATGTGTTCTTCTCTAGTATTTTGTTGTTGTCCTCTCCTTCCTCCCTCCCTCCCTCCCTCAGCTTGATTATTTTTTGTGTCTTTATTTTTCTTTCAGCATTCAACATGGGCAAAGGATTAGTGGCTGGAGGTGCTGTTGTAGGAATCGGAGCTCTCTGCTTCTATGGCCTGGGGCTCTCCAGTCAGCCAGGGGCGTTAGAGCGGTCTGTGTAAGTTGAAAAAAAGCTCATCTGTAACTATCAGCGACCTTGTCAAATACCCTTCGGTTCTTACATTAAGTCTTTATGTTGCCATGGGTATGCGTTCCTACTGTAAGCTCGTTTTCCAGAACAGCAGCCTAATGTTTCAGTGTTAATGGCCGCGCGGTCTAGATCTAGATCTACACACTCATGACATATATGGGACACCGGGTCTTCGGTTGTCACTTTTCTCACTTTTCTTATTCCCCATTTCCTCCTATTTTACTCATAATTTCGAATAACCTGCAAATCTAAGTCAAAAAGTGAATAATTTATTAATTTACTTTTTACAGTAATTTTGATATTTATGTTTTACGAGAGCACACGGCCGCCCGCAAGCCTAGATCTATGTTTATCGATCGCTTGCAAGCCTAGCAGTAAAACAATACTAGCAAATTTGGTACCGATAATGCGTCTTTTATTCCAGAATACAAATCTACGCAGCATGGCTAAAATTGCGTACAGAAGAATTAGAGCCAGGTTATTAGCATGATGTAATGTAATGTCACAGGCAACCAAGAACAGCAAATTTTGCCAACTTCTGTAACATACATGGTATGGTACAGCGCTAAAAATTATGCATTTTCATGACGTACCAGGTATGTTATAAGGCAACGAAGTGATTAAACTTTGAATTAAAAGATGGTACGAAGGTTGCGGTGTTGGTCGGGAAATTCCTAAACCGTGGAAGAATATAGTCAGCATTCATTGGTATTTCTTGTTGTTTCTTGCATTATTTATTCCTCTCCATGGTTTGCCTGGTTTGATTGAAGTGTTTTAGTTAACATCCCATTTGCCATTAGTCTGTGAAATACAAGCGTTGATAAATGTGTACTGTTTTTTATACAAACCCCCCCCAGTGCTACTGACTGAAGTGACTTTAGGCCATTCCCAAAAAAAGGGGGGGGGGGGGGTATTAACATGTTCATCAAAGTCATGCTCATACTGTGCCGGAACAACATTGGGGGAAACTGCTGCTTTTTCTTTCCTAATCCTTACTGTCATCATTTTCCTCTACTTCTTTTTTAAGTTTGTCACTCTCTTGTGAACTGCTATTTCCCGGGGTACCTTGATAGTCAAAGCAGACTTTGTGCTATTGAGGCTAGAGAGGCGAGCAGAGTAAGCCTGATTCCCCGTTTAGACTTCTCTGGTGACATCCACCCCTTGGTGCTCATATGACCTTATGCAGTTGCGAACGCCGTAAAACGTTACTAAAACTAAAACTGTTTTTGAGAGAGGCTTTCGATGATAAAAGTGATTAATTTGTAGTGTTTGTTTTGGTTGATGGCAGCTGTATGTGTGACATTGGTGTCAGGGTCACAACAGTAAACTAAACATAAGAGAATCACATCTATAGAAGCTTAAGTTCCAGAGAAAATTGAAGTGTTGAAAATGTTAAAATGTTAGATTTCAACAGGGTCATATTCTCTAGTCTGTTCTCTTATGAACTGCTATTTTTTCACTGGAACAGAAAGAGCTATTGTCCTTCTTCTCACCTTTTTTGTATGTCTCATTCATACTTCTGTTTTTGTGGTTGCAGTGTATTGCAATTTAAATTGTCATAAGATGAAAACATTTTAATTTCATAGATTCAAAAAAATATATGCAAAATCGAAAGATTGAACAACACAAAATGTAAGCATAGGTGGTCAATCGGGGATCATTTTCTTTTTTAGATGATCGATTTAAAAGTGACGTCGGTTGTTTTGAAACCTGTTCACATCTAAAATGTGTGCTCAAATAGTCTTACAAAGGTCTATTATTTGGTGGGGGGAGGGTATGGATATCTGATGTGCAAAATAATTCATACTGAATGAGTGAGTTATCCTCTCCAGGACATGGTCCCCCGTGGTGAGACAAAGGATTCGTGACACCTACATGTACTTTGGCGGTAGCTTAGCCATCACTGCTCTGTCTGCTGTGGCAGCCGCCCGGAGCCCTGCAGTCATGAACTTCATGATGAAGAATTCCTTGCTGGTAAGCACCTAGTAGTTTGATGGTGCACCTCCTGTACAGGTACAGTGTGGGGGAGTTTTTGTACTTCAAAATGAATATAGTATAAACTTTTTCGTGCCTAAGTCCCTGTTCTGAAAATTAACTCCTCCCCCCAAAGACAAGGGGCATAAATCTGTACAACCTGAACATTCATCATATAATATTCAAGTTCAAGTTTGATTTTGATGTAGAGGCATCCAATTGGGTGCATCTGATGAATATGAGATAAGTTGCTAGTGAAGACCATCAAATGTTTTGCTTTAATTTTCAAAGGAAAAAACTGGCGGGAGTTAAAGGGTTTACATAAAAACTGAAACCTGTCTTTCTCTTTTTCCGTAGAGAAACTTTCTTACAAGGCCATGTTTGAAACAGATTTTATCTTTGATCCAGATGAGTAATACCTTTGTGCAGACGAATGTGTACCTTACTTTTGCATCTTTTTACTGTGGTTTGCAGTCCATCGGAGCAACTATTGCTGCCATGATTGGTTCCGGAATGGTGTGTCGCTCCATTCCCTACCGAGAAGGATTTGGCTCAAAGCAGATGGCGTGGATGGTGCATGCTGGCATTATGGGTGCAGTCGTGGCTCCCCTCACTTTGCTCGGAGGGCCTTTACTTGTGAGAGCAGCTTGGTACACAGCAGGTGTGGTTGGAGGTGAGTCTGAACTTTTAGAGTAAATTATAGTTCAGCTGTGTCAGAGATTTCAGAGGGGGGGAGGGGGGTGGTAGTTTCAGTTTCTTCAGCAATATTAAATTAATGACATTGCAGAAAGTTTATATCGATTATTCCAAGGGAATACCATATACTGGGACGCCATTTAGTATTGCAATGGTTTTTCTGTTAGCTTTGGTGGTTTTAAAGACTACTGCTTACAACTAAACACTGCCTTACAGCTGCCTTTCTGAATAAGATAGTATATGATGAAGAAAAAGTTGTCATTCCTCTGAAAGCGTTTCAACAATCGGTAAGTAGAAATGAGAAGTTTTCTCCAGTCATTAGGTGCATTTTGAAATGTTATTTGATTTTCAGCAGAATATCTGTCTTCGTAACTTTGGTTCATTAGTGAAAAATTATTGTCTTCTTTTTCTGCAGGTCTTTCGGCAGTTGCCATGTGTGCCCCAAGTGAGAAATTCCTCAACATGGGGGGAATCCTTGGAGCTGGTCTCGGGGTTGTGTTTGTGTCTTCTCTGGGTAAGTGACATAAATATCAATGAGGTGTAGGGTGAAGAGGGAGGAGGAACTACTTTTCACTAGCCCAGTTTACATTTCCTTTTACTTCAGGTTCTCACCTCTGGAATTTCTGCACTGTTTTGGGACAGGATTCAAACTTTTAAGACTTGTGAGACTTATTTTACATCATTGCGATAAAACATATTTTTTTTCATTCTCATTCTCAGCTTGGTTTATTGCTATAATAATAATAATAATAGATAGCATTTGTATAGTACAAATCCCCGGTCGACAGCAAGCTCTATGCGCTTTACAATATTATACTATTACCCCAGCAGACCTGGGAGTATTCTGAAGCAAACTCAATTTCCTGGGAAACATACAGTGCAAACTGCCATATATGGGCTCCAAAACATTAACATACTGACAAGATCTTTTGCTGTCTATGGGTGGGTACCCATTCCCACCTGGGTGAAGTGAGGAAAATTTGTGTAACGTATTTTTTCCAGGGACTCAGCGCCGGGGCCCGCGGTTCAAACCCCCAAACCCACAACCTCACAATTACGAGTCTGGTAGCCTAACACAGGGCCACCGACGCCACATAAGGAACAAGCCATGATTTTAATCATAAGGAATAGCATTCGTCTGACTTTTGACTTTACAGCCTACTTGTTCATTTTCATCACACAGTGCACTGCTTGAAAGTACATGCTCTCGGGGAACTTAGTAATCACAGGTGCATCGTTGGAAAAAGAATTATTGGTGATGCAAAAAGTCTTGGGAAATGCAGGAGGGTGGAGGGGGGGAGGTTGTTAATTACTGGAATAGTTGTCATTATCGAATTGGTTTACATAAAAGCTTTTCTGAAAATTTGAACAAAAGTAAGTGCAGTACCAGTACTCAAAGTACGGTGGAGCTGATAGATCACTTTCTGTGCTTTATTTCCACTGTTGAGCTTGCAAAAAACGCATTGAATTTGAAGGTGTGTTTATTTGCAGTGCTTCCCTGGTGTTGTGAGATTATATTTCTTTTGCTTCATTTGCATTGATGACAATCTCTTTTCTTGATTTCTGTTTTAATTATCCCCATATTCATATGCAAGCTCAATGTGCTCATTGTATTAAAATGTATAGCTCTATGGCTCCGAAAAAAACAGTGAAAGTGGAAGAGGCAAAATGCTACTTTGAATTGTCTTTTAGAAAATAACCTTTAAATTTCACTTCTGTCACAAGATAGAGGTTTGAAAAAACATGGACAGGTAGGCCATTTCTAAATCTTGATTTTTTTAAAACTTACCTCGGTTACCAGTTATAGTCTTAAATTTTTTCTTTTTCAGATTATATTCAGTGTGTCATTTTGAACAAAAGAGAGTTTTAATTGGAAACCTAGAGTGCAGCAATATTGAAGAAGTAGAGACAGAACTGTGTATCTTTCGTATCTTTTTACATTCAGAATTTTAGAAAAATAGAATGTGAAGATAGTGAAAGAGCAAAAGCTAAAATAACTGCAGAATTGAAACCTTGAAGTATTGGTGAAGTATGCTGGATATGCCTCTCAGGAGTTATGAATACATTTTTTTCTCAGGTTACACGTGCAAGTGATCACAGATTAGTTACAGCTCGTGCTTATTTCTCTCCCATTGCTTTGTTTATCCAGCTGATGTTACCGTAGAGAAGTTGTTAATATTATGCTTCTTAACACCTCAGGTTCTGCATTTTTCCCGCCAACCACGGCCCTTGGAGCTGGTCTCTACTCACTGAGCATCTATGGAGGTCTTGTCCTGTTCAGCTTGTTCTTGCTCTACGACACACAGAGAATCATCAAGCTGGCAGAGGTCTATCCTGTTTACGCAGAAAGGCCCTTTGACCCAGTGAATGCGTGAGTTTCTTTGTGTGTCACTTACACGTAAAGATGATGCCTTAGCCCTATCCGTACGCCCCGGGGTTGTATTCTTCACATTTTAGAATACTTCTAGTGCGAAGATCTCTTTGAAACTTTCAGTATTTCTCAAGAAGTCATTTGACAGACTGCTATACAAAGCGTACGGATCAGATTAATGATTAAATTTCCTCTTTGGAAAGTGTGGCACAGAGTTCCCTATGTCGTATGGATACGATAGTAAAACACGACGTACGGGTAGGGTTAAGTTGATTCTCACTCTTATCTTGAGTAGAATTGTGCATGGCAGTGTCAATTTATAACTGTTTCAACTGTTTGAGTACCTCAGATGTCTGTGTATTCAAGTCTGAATTTTCTCATTCAAACCAGAGAATGTGTTTTTGGTACATTGTATTGCCAAGGGATCAAAGTCCCTACCTTCTACGTGAGCTGTTTTGTGTCGTGTTCCTTATAGTAAAGTTGGGGTTTTTTTAAATTGTCGTCTGTCTCCCTGTTTACATTATTTGTCTTGTGTACGTTTTTCCCTTCCTGTGCTCCACCTGTTTTTGTTTTTTGTCGCGCCCGTTTCAGTGTTAACCTGCTTCAGTTGTAAGAAAGATAGGGGGGGGGGGGGGGATGAAACGAAAAAGTCCTGTCTGTGGAATTTGTCCTTTGCTTTCTGTTTAACTGCTCTGGTTTGAAGACTGACGGCTGTGACAAACTAGTTATGATCAATGGTTCTGAGCTCAAGAGCTTCTCTGGTTTTGCCGCCACCTTGTTAAACGTTTGTTTATGTTCGTAGAAATTTTTTGTCACTTCCCTTGAAAACAGTATAATATTTATTTATTGTATTATTACTAATTTTACTTGCTGCAAAAATGGAATAATTGTCTTTTTGTTTCTTTCAACAGGAGCATCAGTATCTACATTGACACTATCAACATTTTTATCCGAATTGCCATGATGCTGGCTGGCCAAGGCAGCAGGCGAAAGTAATTCCTTCACAGATCTCTTCTCTAATTTATCAGCAATGTTATTTGAAGTAGATCTCTGTCTGTACAAAGTGATGAAAATGAGACGTGATGGACTGTACATTGATGGCTAAGTATTTTTAGAAATATTTACTCATGTTTGCACTGGAAACTAATACCTTGGGATGTCAACAAAAACATATTGTCCCTATTTCCTATTTATAATGACAAGTTAATGAGTTATGTCCATTGATCTTTTTATTTTTCTGAACGTGTTATCACGAGGGGTAAAATTTTGTAGATTTTTTTATGGAACTGGTCGTTATATCACAAACGTCTGACATTTTTTCATTGGAGAGTGTAATGGACTCTGTAACTATTAAGATGGCTGCTCTGGATTATACTTTTTCAAAATAGAAGCGTATTGTAAGGCTGTCTTGTACTTTAGAGAAGAAAAATAATTTCTGGTTCTCATGTTTAAGATATTTCTGTTGTGTACATATTAAAAAAGATTCAACAAATTATGGAGTTGTTGTTCTTTTTAGATTAGAATTACTTATGTTTCTGTAGAGCATTTCTGTGGGCATTTGGCAGGTGCTCTGGTGTGGTTTGCTCCTTCTTTCCTATCAAACATCCATCCTCCTTATCTGTCCTTTTTTTTTGTTCGTTACTCCCTTGTAACACCTCTAATCTTCAGCACTTATAAGACCTAATTTGGCTAATTGTGATGTTAGTGCCAAAGAGCATTTCTCGTATGATATATATATAGGTACCCAGTGTTAGTGCCAGCTCCTTACTGACCCGAGTGCACTTATTATTTCGTATGTTCATCATGGCTTGCCGTAGGCCACTAACATAACAGATTACAAGGACCACAACCAAGTGTCAGGTGAAAAATCAAATGAATAAGTGGACCACTTAGTTAAAGGTGAAGTAATCTGTTATCTTGAATATGAAATACGTCAAGAGCTGAGGGGATGTTTTTCTTCTAGTATTACTTCTTGTGAGAATCGAGAAGACATTAGCTTATCTAAACAAATGCAGCTTTAAGGGGAGGGGACCCGGGCTGTTTTGAGGTGCAACTGATAAGAAGATCGAAACTTGACGTAGGGCATTGACAACTTTTAAAAAAATTATAATTAAATAATAAATTGTTGTACTTGTATGAAATTTGGCACCAAACTCTGCGTACAAAAATTATTATTGTATCTTAACAACTTTTGATTTTATGTCATTTGTTATCTTTTAATCACATTTTTCTCAAAACATCATTTTTTAACACTTCTCTGGACACTCTGAAGTTTACCAGTGGATTTACTTGAAATTTGCTGTAAGTGTCACTCAAATACCCTTTTCAATTGTATACACATGTAGTACAATTGATGTAAAATATTGGATACATTCTGTTTTATGTTGGAAGTTTTTTGGGGATACTAATTTTCAAAGCTCGTAACTTCCTTATCTTGAAAGATATAAAAACAATTCTCCTATATGTTAACAATACTTCAAGGTCTCTATGTATTCATTTTCAAGCTTATTCATTGGTAAACTTCAGAGAAGTCTTAATTTTAAAATTGGGCGTAAAATCCAAGATGGCCACCAATATTACGGTGCCCATCTTGGATTTTCAAAACAAAAATTTTCGTATTACGTTTCTTTGTCAATTGAAATCTACCTGCCAAACTGTAAGTCTGTACTTGTCTTAATAACGATTTTAGCCCCATCCTGGGACCCCTGTCCTTAGTAACTCTAACTTTAAGCAGCACTCGTGTGTTCAGAAGACTTCATTTGGTTCATGTCCTTGTCCAAGTCATACATATATTAGTCGGATGTTCATTTTATCTTTCAGCCCAGCTACTATATAAATTACAGTGGAACTCGTATTCAACAAAGTCGTCGGGCCTGACCTTAAATTTAGTTGAATCCGAGTGTTCAGTATAGCAAACACAATGTTTTTGTGGAGATGGTTACATTATAAAGGCACCAAGCAAGTAATGTTATAATGTATTCGACTTTGTCAATCAAAAGTAGTTTGGTTTCTAATACGAGGCATTTTCGTTTCTTTAATGCCATACCGAAGAAACGCTGGACAGTTTCAGGAAAATACACTGAACTCTACCAAACACATAATTTGTAAAAGGGCAATTCTTTCAAATGCATGCTTGTGTTTTTATAATCTAGAGCTATATATTCATTCTGTTTACCAAACAAGTTATGTTGCTGTGTAGAGCCCAGCTGGCATACGCCAACTTTTGATTCCACCACAGTCCAGAGCGCAATTCATTACGTAGATCCTATGTATGCCAAGACTATCATTGTAAAGTTATTCAGTAGCTGGGGAAACAACTGATGTGTTTGTATCTTTACTGACATTCCACATCCAGACCGCTTGTGCCCCCTCCCCCAGACACACACAGTCACACATGTGCTGGCTGCCCCCTAACCCTGACACACGCTATGACTATGAGATGTATGTGTACGTGCTAACATGTGTTTTGATAAAAGAAGACCACTGATAAACAATAGGCTAAGCGAATAATGGTTCACGATGCAGATGCCATGGAATGGTTTCCAGGAATAGATAAAAGGTTCGTTGTGGGAGAAAAATAAGGGAAGCCTCGTCAGCGGGGACTGTTCATCCTGCAAGCGACTTCATTGAATCTGAGCTTGCTTATGTTTTCGTTGAATCCGAGTTATTTTTTATTGAATTTTATGATGAATAAAAAAAACGAGGAATCCAACTCCTTTCGTTGAATCGGAGTTTTCACTGAAACCTGTATAGTCGAACCTGTGTAAGATGGAATCGCAAGGGAGCCAGAAAAAAATTCCGTCTTAGACGTGGAGGGAATTTAGGGGGAGATGTATGAGGGTTTCCAGAGACCCAGCTGGTGGGATCAAATTCAAAGGTCCCTTGTCTGATTGACAGGCAGTGGTCAAAACTTCAGACCTCTCACTCTCAAGTGCTATCCTCTACTTTAATGGAATGCATCAGTTCTACATATCTATTGCCACCAGTGCTTGCATCTCATAGGACCTATTAAAATCAGAAACGTTTGAACTTCACCTTTACTTCCACCCTTAGCCCCACTCATAGGTGTAATAAATAAGCACAGTCAACCAATGCCACCCCATCCAAGCTTGCAACGATTCAAAGAGCTCTTTTTGTGGCTGGCCGTACAATCAGGGCGGCAGGCATTGGTCAAACTAATTTCACACCTCTAGTTAGTCTGGTTACCCATGAAAGTTTCTGTGCTGGGGCACCACTCAAGCACTTTCACAGGCACTGGTGAGATTTCATACCCACACCGCCCTGATCACTGACTATCTGCATTGCCAAGGGCTTTCATGCATGGGGTAACACCTACCCTCAATTTGAAGCCCTACTCCCATTGGGAGCCTATGCCTGCCCCCCTTCCTCGCCTGATGGCATTGTGTAAAAAGGTTAGAGCCAAATGGAATCAAACTTGATAGTTTCATTTCAAATCAAAGCTGAGTGGGAACAGCATTTCCCGTCCTAGTACTCTTTAAGACAAGTGAACACCCTCCTGAAGGAAGGTATTTCTCTTTCCATTTTCTGTGTACTGTTAGAGATAGGTTTCCATTTTATAGAGGAATTTATCAAGGGCCTGCAGTGAGATGTTTTGACAGGTTCGACTGTAAGGGGTGTGACCTCCACCAATTTGGGCCACCTCTATCGGGACTGAGCTTAGTGGATAGAAAGCTGGGAAATCATTGTACCTCCCTTTATTTTGGAAACGTCTTACTGAGGCTTTGAACCAGCACTGCAGCTCAAAGTAGGATATATATCAGCTCTGCCGTAGGCTGGCAAAATGCCTTTTTCTTTTTCATAGCAATTTTGAGATGCATAACCCATTTTTTAAAATACTTTTTTCGGAAATCTGAATTCTAATTTACTCAAAAACTAGTTTAGGACAAAGCTGAGCTATCAGCCAGCCATAACTTCTGAAACTAGCATGTAGATTTTAAGACTGCACCCTGCTTTTGCATTCTAAATCTAATAAAAAAGCACCACTCGGTGATTTGATGTAAACAAGAACACAATATGAAGATCTACATCTTGTACACTTTTCTTCCTGGTATATTATGACTTGCAGATAACCAATGTTGACTGAACTTGCTCCTGCATAATCTGTCCCTAACTAAATATGACAATTAGTGGAGCCAACTTGTACTACATTTGTGCTACCCAACAAACAAGTCAACAACAATACAATCAGTTCATTTCTGGGTTATGAGATTCTAGATAAGCATAGTGTCACGGCGCAGTGGAATCAAGTGCTCGTCAAGTTTTCGGTATAGTATATAAACTTATTGGTATCGTAATAATAATAATGCGCTTTACAACTATTATTACCCCAGCAGACCCTCTGAGAACGCTCCGAAACATTCTCGGCTTCCGCGGAAGCATACAGTGCAAGTTGCGGATTTCACACGCTCAAACACTATCGAACTGAAAAAATCTTTCACTGTCTATAGCTGGGTACCTATTTCCACCTGGGTGAAGTGAGGAAAATTTGTGCAAAGTGCTTTTCCCAAGGCCACTGACGGGATTCGAACCCACGACCTTACGGTTGCGAGTCCGAGAGCCTAACCACTAGGCCACAACTTAAAGTTTGTTCATTTGTCTTACTTTCGATGAAAAAATTACAGATCTAGCTTTAGAAGTCGAAATATTTCAGATCGAAGGAAGTTGGGTTGGGATTACATGGTTTCAGGGGTAAAATTAGAAAGAAAATAGCCGCCAAAATTTGGTGATTTCCAAAGCTCGAGTCATTGTTAACTGTAAATTTACATTTTTTTGGCCTGTAAAATCCACACAGCAATGTATTTTTGAATCGACATAAACGGTGTTGGGCCAAAACATAAAAATTCTATAAAATTGCCAAACGGAAAGAAAAGTGCCATTTTCTTTGATTTCATTATTTTGACGAGCGCCTGATTCCACCACAATGCCTCACATATAGAACAGCCTTGTATCTCCGTATCCAAGGAAAATACAGGTGGTTATGTCCGCAGTCTTGTGGGTTGCCTTTTTTTTTACAAAAGACCCCACTTCCAACAAAATATAATTAAGAAAGTAAAAATCTAAGACGAAGAGTAACAACTAAGAACATGTTCTTTTATTTACAGCAAATTCAATGACAAACAAGTATACATGTACAAGCATAGTAGATTATCCAATATCATCCACAATCCCCACCACAGCAAACGACACAAGAGAGAAGAGGAACTTGACAAACAATTCAATGATTTGCTAAGGAAAGACACACAAAAACACTCCCAAGACGCAAATCTTGCTGCCCAATTTAAGCATAAATCATTCTATAACTATGCTAGGTGCACTTCTTTCACTAAAGTAAAAACCAAAAGGGTGAGTTTGATGTGGAAAATGCAAAAAAGCTAATTGGGTTTATTATATTGGCAACTAAGTATGAAGCTGATAATAGCGCAAGCAGTGCTTCGGTTTAAATGGGTAGTCAAAAAGTACAAGGGTGACTACATTTTTCATGGGATTCACAGACCTGCCAAGTACTCGCTCTAATGAAATCAGAGCTCTCCGATTTTGTTTTCTTTGATCATCAAAGAACCCTGTTTGGATTTAAGCAAAATCCTATTTTTTACTAGCATTTTGTTGCCATCAAGTGTATGTAACTTACAGTAAATGAGGTGAAAATACACATTTTTACTTGTATTTACATATATTTCCATGGTCAGTTCATGGTGAAATCTTAATTCACCGGGGTTGTAGAGACCCCCCAAACTCCAAATTTTTAAAAGAGAATTCAGATGAAAACTCTTATTTTTAGTCACAGAGTGGTCGGTAGGTCTGGATTAAGAAACTAAACTTTATTATTGTATCCCTCTTCAATTTTTTATCCGTTTGTTGGGACTCTCTCATTCCTTGCACCTAAAATTAATGTGCTTACTCAATTACAGTTGAACCTGTCCACACCGACTACCCATTGTCAAGTAGAAAAGCAATTATCTATGTGGTTTTCATGGACAGTGTCATAATAGTACATTTTAAAAAACCACAAGGGCGGAGTGGGAAGTGGTCATTTATACAGGTGATTGTCTTGGACAGGTGATCAGTGGAGAAGGTTCAACTGTATTTTCTTTTCTTCTTTCCTTGGGGCATGCTGTCTAACAAAAAACAAATTACAAAAGCAGGAGCAAAGCAAACAGTTCTAATGTGTACCTTGGGAGATTTTATACTGCCTCATAAAAAAGCAAAAAATGTATTACCAGCTATAGGCAAAAAAAATAAATGGAATGGAATGGGTCGATTAAGAAATAACAGCCAAAGCTTAGACAAAATCTAGTTAAAAGTTTTCAATGAGACCCCCATAAAGTAAAGACACCAGGACACTGATATCTGACAGCAAACCTCCGGAGTGATAGCAATGGAGGTTCTATACAATATACTACGTACCTCATGAGAAAGAACTAAGTAACTCCGACACAATATTCTTGAGAATATCAGGCTTTATTGCCATCTTTAAAAAAATAAATTGTGCACTACATACATGTACTATTACAAGTACAAGCTGTGTCTGCTTTTATGTCTTAGTCAAGGATGGGATTGGGCTACATGAGGGGGGTTGGAGGGAACAAAAGACCAAGAAGGGCATTCAGTCCAGTACACAAGCTTACACAGTAACATTTCCTCGGCTAGCTGTTCAGATGTACTTTGCCCAAAAATTAAAAAAAAAATTATTGCAGTTTCTTAATCAGTGGCATTGCTTGCATGTGCTCTAGAAATATTTTGTTGAAACCCGAATTCTTCAAGCTGTAAAAAAAAGCAGGAAAAGACGCATAATTTATGTACAATTTTTTAAAGAATGAAAAGTTGGGTTTTTTTCTCTCTTCTGAAAAATTTTGCTTTCTGGGCTTAGAACAATTAAAACAGCTTGCTGATGATTTGCCACCATCAACATAATAAAACACAGCAACAAGAATAAATTCAACTTCGTAACATTGTTCAACCATAGTCACAACAATTGTTACCCGCACTATGACTTTGAACTCTATTCAAAGCGTGAAAAACAAACAACACTTTCATAAACACCTAAGCAGTCAGCAGTCATTCAATCATAAACAAAAAAAAACAATGATCAATTCTCGCCAACAGTCTCCTCTTTCAAATCTCCATGCTGCTGCTTCTCACTCCTACTTTCCTTTTCCTCTTTTGCCTCTTTCTTGTGTCCGTCATTCTTTTCTTTCTTTACGTCCTTGTTCAACATTGCAGTAAGGCTGTTCAATGCCCCCTGCATCTGTGACCTAAAACGAGGAGTGAAAGGAAAATAAACAACCTTCATCATCATCATGACCGACAATATAAAATCACAGACAACATAGGAGAAAATATTCTTAAGGTCCATCTATTTCAATACTATGCAAAAATTAACTTGCGCACTGCTAATCAATTTGATTGGAATTACAAAAGAAAGATAAGTGCAACTTGTACCATATTTAAATGGCCTAAACACAGTCAACTCTGCTTGTGTTGAACACGCTTGAGACTAGGCCTTCTCAGTCCAGGCCACACAGCCCACACGACTGGCTCCGGCATTGGAGGCCGGGGTGGACGACCTTATCTTGATAAACTCGCCTCGAGACCAGTCCTTATCTTATCGAGGATCGATGTGAAAAGCGGCGATAGGCAGATGTTCTAATGCTAATATGTATATACAGGTGATGGAACATTTTTGTATTACGTTTCTGCGGGCCGATAGTGTAACAGTAATGTGTGTAGTGTGTAGCCGTCTAATCTGTCTAATCTCCTAGTCCTAGCCTCTTCATTGTTGCATTCAGTCCTCTTGGAAGCACACGTTTTTTTCGTTTGGATGTATTTTCACTACACTCAATTCTAAGGATTCAATTTGTGCTTACATTTTGTGTCAGCCCAGATTCTAGTTCTCTTTCATCTTGAATGTTATTGTTACTAGAATCTACTGTAACTGTGAAAAAGTTTTCGGAACCGTGTGAGCAACATTTGAACATGGGAAGAAAGTGTAGGGGATGGGGTAGTAGAAGTGGTTATGCCAGCCAAAAGGGAGATGCAAAATAACAATAATATAGATTTCCAAAAGATTCAGAAAAAAAAGCACTGTGGATCAAAAGTGTTCCAAATAAATTAATCGTAGAAGATGTCACGGATTATTATATATATATATATTTATATATGGGAGTTTGCTCTCTGCACTTCAAACCTGATGTACCTTTGACTCGGGCTGGAAGATTTTTAGTGCCCACAGTCTCCAACAATATTTCCAGAAGTACCACCATCATGTTGTGGCACACCAACTCCAAAAAAGAGAGCAACTACAACAAGTTCAACTTCTTCTAGAGCTGCTGATATTGATGATATATTTAAAGAAAGATAAGTCTTCAAGTTCGATTCATTTTATCAAACAATGGGTATGACCCTGACAGCCATTGGCAATGTTGCAAAGAGTAAAGATTAGACCTGCATGTTTGCCGACAATCGTCTGAAATCCGACAATCGCGACCCGATTAGTCAATGTGCGAAGTGCAAGACCTGGCCGACTGCCAGCGCCCCCTTTTTCTCCCGTCGGCTTTGTCGGCCCTTTCGTTTTCGTGCCGACTGCCGACGTCGGCGTTTTCGACATAATTGTCGGAACCTGAGTAGAAATACGAATACGAAAAAGGACGACGACCTAAATTATCTACTTTCAGTTTCGGGCTGGAGCGGCCATTTTGAATTTCGTTTGTTGACTGATTGTTAAGATCCATGTGGATTCATTCAAGTCCGACTCACTTACAAGTTCTTCTAGATCTAGATCTAGATTCATAGATCATCATTATATACTTCAATGGAGGATTCATATTCCAATTCTATTGTGTCAAACGCTATGATAGGTTTTGCTGTAATATTAATGTTGGTAAAAAGAATTTCATCAGGTGCGTGAATTATTTATTTTTATAGAAATCTAGACTCAGCTGAGTCCCTCTGTTCAGAATCGGATGCGGATTTCTCGTTCAAGGCCTATTATATTTCTATTCACTTGTTCTACATACACTCTAGATCTAGAATCTAGATTTAATTAGATTACTAAATCTATATATGGAGGAATCATATTCCAATTCTATTGTGTTATTGTATCAAACCCTATATTTATTTTATAGCAAAGAAGGCCATCATATATTAGATAGATAGATTCTAGATTCTAGATCTACTCCTTGTTTGTTTTGTAGTGTTGTTGTTTTTTTTTTTGTTCTTTTCATTTTGGGCTTCTGGCCTTTTTACGTGAGGGCCGTTGCAGGTTCTTTTTCGGGGTAGGGTTAGGGTTAGGTCTCTTCTTTACTGCGTTTGTTGGGGT